ACCTTGCCAGTCCACCACGACTTCTCAAATATGATGGCTAGTGGTTTAGCGACTTCATCTGCCAGTTCCCTCAGGACCCGTGGATGTATCTCATCAGGTCCCATGGACTTGTGCACCTTCAGGTTCCTCAGGTGGTCTCGCACTTGGTCTTCACCTACAGTGCACGGTTCTCCATGTTCCCAATCCTCGCCTTTGCATTCTGCATCATGGACAGTGCGGTTGCAGTCCTTGCCAGTGAAGACTGAGGCAAAAAAGTCATTGAGGACCTGAGCTCTGTCTCTGTCCCGGGTAACCAGTTCTTGCGTTTCCTTCTGGAGAGGGCCCACATTTTCCCTAGTCCTTCTTTTCTTGCTGACATACTTAAAGAAGGATTTTTTGTTTGTCTTAATGTCCCAGGCCAGATTTAGTTCTATCTGGGCTTTAGCTTGTCTAACCCGATCGCTGGCTGCTTGAACGGTTCCTCTGTATTCCTCCCAGGCTACCCACCCCTGTTTCCACTCCCTACAGGCCTCCTTTTTCCTTTTGGTCCTGTCCAGGATTTCCTTTTTCATCCATGCAGGCCTCCTGGCTTTTCTGCCTGCCTTCCTCTTTGTAGGGATGCATCGCTCCTGAGCTTGGAGGAGGTGGTGCTTGAATATTAACCAACTTTCTTGGGCCCCTCTTCCTCCAGCTCTTCATCCCATGGCACCATACCAAGCAGATTCTTCAGGAGGCCAAAGTTAGCTCTCCCAAAGTCCAGGATGGTCATCTTCAGAAAGATGCTGTCTCAGGACAACAGTTTTTCCTCACATGCCTTTGATCCGCTCCCATAACACTGCTGCTCAAGTTTGGGAAATTCTGCAGCATCATTATCAGTAGCATGCTCTTACCTTGATCTCTATGCATACTGTTGAGTTTAGGGCCCTTACAGCCCCAGTTTCTCAATCTCAGGTCCTTTGTACCAAGAACAGGCCTTGGAGTTAGTTATGAAGTACTTGTTTACTGTCTGTTGCATCACTTGTAATCCGTGAGGAGGGTGGTTGGCTGGTTAGGACACCGATAAGTCTGTGTTACACAGTCACCATTGCTGTGGCTATAAACAGGCTTGTTTCTAGCAAATTCTCTGTGCTGATTCCGGCAGAAATGCCCTTTACCTGTGTGCAGCACATACTCTCATTTCACCCCCACCCGTAGGGACTAAAACTTGCCTGGTCTGTTGCTATTTCTCTGGTCCTAGCTCTGGAAGGAACAACATTCCTCCCATTTGCTGGAGAGGGGGATGGCAGGAATACTGGAGGGAAGTAGTTTTTCTGGGGTCCTCAAGCATTAGCTCTCCCTTACCATGTAGGGCTGCTAACAGTTGCTAGCCTTTCTTCAGTCGGTTGCATGTGTTTTGAGCTTTGTACATTCATATATGGTCATGAATAGGACTATGTCATGTGTCCGTGACTGTAACTGCAGAATGAATACTTCTGACTAGATATTCTGCACGTTACGTATTTTGGCACTGTGTGAAATAGAAGTACCTTGAAATTAGAACAGCTATTGTGCACACAGAGCTACTGTAGTGAGAGGGATTGTACTTTTGTCTTCCAGGAAATTGGCAATAAAAGTGTAAGTTGCAATAAAAATGTAAATGGTACTGCATATTCGGTTGTGATTATGATTGCCTGGATGCAACTATAGGTTTGATAGGAAAGAAGCAGAAATAACTTATTTGCAGTACTTACCTGAATCTAGGATTTAATTTTTTTCCCCTTCTGGTTCTGGTGCTTACTTTGGCACCTTTCAGGTCAGGCAGAGGGAAGTAAAGTCAATGAAAGTAAAATGCAAGCTGCTTCTGTTTCCCACTTGGAAGCATGTTGATACAATACAATTTCAAGCTGAATGGGACCCGCACCAAGGAAATTGGTGCGTGTGTTCTTCTGATCTTGAACGGTGTTGGGAAATACTGGGTGTGACTTTGATCTATTTCCTGAGTGTACAGACTAGTCATCTGCACACGGGTGGAGAGACAAGAGGTTCTAGTTTCAGCCCAAACCAACTGTCTTAAGATGTGGGTGGGTGGAGGCTATTGTTTGCTTTTCTTTTGACGTGGAGACGATACACACTTAAGATTTTAAAGTGCTTTTTACATTTAGTAGTACTATAATCAGTGTTTTACATTGCTTCCCCC